TCAGAAGCAATTTCCATTAGATCAGTGATCTAACTTAAGCTAACAAATGATTACCCTTCACATCTGAGCAAAAATAGGTGCCTAACTGAAGATAATGATAATAAGCAGCTACAATATATACATGGTATTTTATATAGGAAAATCGAGACCTTAAGTAAAACACCTAGAGAAAAAGACATAACTTTTTTCCTTGAATTAAATCCTTTCTGGCATTTTTAGAAATATGAAGTTGTTAGATCCAATTCACTGTGGTAAGCAGAATAATGTTTCCTTCTTCTCCCTGCAAAAATGTCCATGTACTAATACCCAAACTTTTGAATAGGTTACAATACATGGTAGAGGGGACTTTGAAGATGTGATTGAGTTTAAGGAGCTTGAGGTGGGAAGATTATCATTATCTTAGATTATCCAGGTAAGCCCAATGTAATTACAAAAGTCCTTATAATAGCGAGACAGGAGGGCCAGGTCAGAAAGGGGAAGGTGAAGATGGAAGGAGAAGGCAGGATTGTGCATTTTGAAAGGTGGATGCAGGGTCCACAAGCCCAGGAATGCATGCTGCCTCCAGAAGCTGGACACAAATCCTCTCTTGAAGCCTCCAAAAGGAATGTAGCACTGCTGACACCATCACTTTTATACCTGTAAGTCTTATTTCTGATTTCCAATATCAGGAATTTAAGATAATAGGTTTGTGTTGGTTTAAACCACCTAGTCTGGGGCAATTCATTATAGCAGCATTAGTTAACTAATATATATACCAAAGCCTTGGCAAGACAACTGAAGTTGAGCTGTAAGAATGGGAAGCCATAAAATCCTCTGTCACTTATACCATTTCACTATGAGAGGTCAAAGGTTTCCTAAAGAGACTGGAGGGAGAGTTACTCACTCCTGTTCAGAAATTTTGTCATCTTCCATAAAGCTGTAGCATCCCCTGTTCTTTCCACAGAATTTTCAAAAAGTATCTTGAGGTCGATTGAACAACAACTCGCCTTTGGGCTCCTTAACCATCTTTCTAAAAAGAATAAATTTAATTTGAACAATGCTAAGGATTAGCTAACTGGTCCTCATCTTAATAAAGTTATCAGATCAGCTGACAATTGAGGGATGGCCAATGGTATAATGATAGTCCACAAAACATGGGACTGGATATTCTTATGATAGTTAAATGCCAAAGATACAACCCTTCACCTCAATGACCTTATATATGAAGGTCAAAGAAAGTGTCGAAGCAGAAGTAAAAACATGGAGGTAAAACCCTAGAGAAAACTAAACCCTGGCATCTTCTGCCATTTTTCCTAGGAACAAGAGCCCTGATGAAGATTCTTGGTTTCCATAACCCAACCTCCACTGCCAGCGTTGTCTGTTTCCTAAGAAGATTGTTGTGGCAACAAGCAGATGAGGCTGTCAATGAAATCAAGGGACTCTAGGAGGGGATACCTTTTTATGATGAGGTTTTATTAAGAAAAATATAGACCAAGATAGGAAGTCATATTTTTTTGTAAGGAAGTACAGTAATTGTGTATTTCACACACATATCATTTAACATACCATTTTTTATATGCTAAACACTACGTTGGGGACTGGAAATAGACAGTGTTCAAGAAAGCCCTCACCAAGCTTAAAGTTTTAACAGAGAAGACAAAAATAAAAGCACAAAGACTCTGAGAATGGGGGACACCTGGGTGGCTCAGTTGGTTGAGTGTCTGCCTTTGGCTCAGGTCATGATCCCAGGGTCCTGGGACCAAGTCCCACATCAGTCTCCTTGCTTAGCAGGGAGCCTGCTTCTCCTTCTGCCTGCTCCTCCCCCTGCTAGTGCTTTCTCTCTCCCTCTCTGACAAAAAAAAAAAGGAAAGAAGAAAGAAAAGAAAGAAAAGAAAGAAAAGAAAGAAAAAGAAAAGAAAGAAAAGAAAGAAAAGAAAAGAAAAGAAAAGAAAAGAAAGAAAGAAAGAAAGAAAGAAAGAAAGAAAGAAAGAAAGAAAGAAAAGATTAAAAAAACAAAAAGACTCTGAGAATGAATAAAAGGGAGCCCTGACTAGTTTGTGGCTACTCAAGTGTATTAGCTCAGGCTGCCAAAACAAAATACTATAGACTCGGTGGCTTAGATGATAGGAATTTATTTTCTCACAGTTCTGGAAGTTGCAGTTAAAGATCAGGGTGTCAGCAGGACTAGTTTCTGGGTAAAGGCTCACTGCCTGACTTGCAGACAGCTGCCTCCTTGCTATGTCTTCACAGGGCAGAGAGAGAAACAGAGAGATACAGAGGTACAGAGAAGGGGGTGGGCAAAGAAAGAGAACTCTCTGCTATCTCTCTTATGAACGCCTTAATCCCATCCAGAGGGTCCTATTCTTCTAACCTCATCTAAAGTAATTACCTCCTATAGGCCCTATCTCCAAATACCATCACACTGGAGGTTAGGACTTCAACATGTGAATTTTGAGGGAACACAATTTAGTCCACAGCATCAAGAAAGTCTTTATTTGAAGATGTATGAATTAAGGTGACAACAGAATAGAAAATCCTTAGATAATTGCAAATAAAGGAAGACGCATGTACAAATTCCAATATGGGAAGGAACTTGATATAGTTAGGGAACTGAAAGAAAGAGCAGTGAGGCTATAGTACAAGGAGGGAAAGAAACACTGGCATGAGAGAAGGCTGGCAGGAGGTGATCACCAAGAATTTTGTGGACTATCATTAAAAGATTATGCAGTATATCTTTTTTTAAAGATTTTAATTTATTTGAGAGACAGACAGACAGAGAGCACAAGTGGGGAGGAGAGGGAGAAGCATCCTCCCCACTGAGCAGGGAACCTGGTGTGGGGCTCAATCCCAGAACCCTGGGATTATGACCTGAGCCGAAGGCAGACACTTAACTGACTGAGCCACCCAGGCACCCCTATGCAGTATATCTTTAAAAATGAAATGCTATCAACAAATTTTAAGCAGGGCCAAATTATAATCAGATTTGTCTCATAAATCTCACTGTGGCTTCTATTTGCAATATGGATTGGCATGGGACAAGAATGATGTGATAAGATCAGTTAGCAGTTCATGTGAGAGACGATGATGATGGCTTGCATTAGACTGATAGAGATGGAAAGAAAAGGACACATTCAAAGATATTTAGGAATTAAACTTAACTGATAATGTAAAAGGTAATGAGAGAGGAAGATAAATCAGGGTACATGGCTTGACCAAATGCCCGAGGATGGGGTGGGAGCAACCATCCCTGGGATGGAGAGGTATGGGGGGAAATCCCTGACATGGAGAACACTAGAGAAGAAGTAGATTTCTCAAGCAGAAAATCATAAAATGAGTTTTAGATATTTTGGTTTGATGCTGCTATAAGGCATCAAGGTGAAGTTGCTGAGAAGATAATTAGATAGGTCAGTTTAGAAGAGAGGTTTGGGTAGAAAACGTAAATTTGGGGTAATCAGTAAATAAATAATTACTGATGTCATGAAGTGAGTAAGATCACTTTGGGAGAGAAAATAGAGTAAGAGTGCTGAGGACTTCAACTGCAAGGAAAATATAGTACGTGACCAAATTGAACACTAAGGACTCTAGGGCTTTGAACCCCATATGAATACTTGAGCTCCTAGGCAAGGGGGTTGGGGCAGGACCACTGATAATACTTCATGAACATCATGGTATTTCTTTCTCTTTCCAAGCAGTCCCATGCTACCTTCAACCCTTGAATTCTTTTTTGTCTTTTTTTTTTTTTGCCATTATTACTTATCATCATCAGTCAGGAATATAGTATCTGCCTTCTCTCATTTCTGTTCCCCAATAAGCTCTAAAAGAAGAACAAATAGACTTCAATAAAAGAAGAAAAGTCATGATTCCCTCTCTTTTTCACTTGCAATTCATCCTTTCTTTCTTCTTGACATTTTCCAAAACTCTACACTTTAAATAAAGTTCCTAATAATTAGAGAAACAACTTGCCCAAGAATAAATAGCTAATATAAGTTGCTCTTTAGAACAAGCTGCCAGCTCATTATGTTGGCTAATAAATAAAATCTATTCAGTCATCATGGAAATGGAAAATCATTTCTAAAGGGAAAAATCTAACAAATCAACTATGGTCAATATTTTCTATAGTGAATGGATGAAGACCATGATGAGCCTGTTTTCTCCACTGACTTCCTACTTGTTGAAGGGTGGTTTCACCATTCCAAAGCCTGCTTTATCTGTCCCTCAATAACACAGCACAGACTAGAACTCCAGTTTTTCCAGATACTGGAGAAATCTCAGTGTATAGTTTTGAGGTTGGATTGTGTTTGTAAAATATGAATTGCTAGCTCTTCTCTGGTCAGCATGAGTATGAAGCTTCTCACAAAGGAGAGTAAATCCTCCACAACACTACAGTTGTAAAATGGTTGTGTTCCTTTGGACTGTTTATCTCCTTTCTCTAGCTCCCCTGGGTCTCTCATAGTCCCCAACAATGACTGTTAGTAAACCAGCAAATGTAACCAAATGTCATTAGCAAAAATAGATTGCTCCCTGAATGACTCCACAAAACACCTACTGCCTTACAGACAGTATGAAATTTTTGGTTCAACTGGATACTTAAAAATCACCAGATATTGACTGAATGCCAAAACAAAACAAACACAACAAACAAACAAACAAAAAACCCAAAGAAATATTTACACTTTGGACTATTAAGAAGCATAAATCAACTCTTGATTTCCAGAAATTCACAACTTATTGATGGCTCATGACAGTTATATATCACAAGACAATAGGTTAGAAGGGCAATTAAGCTCATGCATTTAGGATAGAGTGGTTAGTGAGAGCTCTTAGAGAAGTGATCTCGTATGTGGTGTGTGTGTTCTAATGATTAAGATATCAAGAAACAGGATGAGGGGAGAGGTACATGTCAATCTGATTAGGTAAGGACAATGTGGTTTTGGGATTATGGAAGGCAGGAACTAGGTCTGTTTGTGTGGTTATAGGGCTGGGAGGTTCAATTGTCAGTATCATTATTTATTGACAATCCTGTGCTTGATTCAGCAGCACATGTACTAAAATTGGAATGATACAGGGAAGATTAGTATGGTTCCCTGCACTAGGATGACACACTATTTATTTACAATCCCTATGATACCATAGCCATGCATCAGAATATTTTGTATGTTCTCCACCACAAATATGGGGCCACCACTGCCCATTTATTACAAAGTGTTAATCTAATTACAGAATACATTCTGGCTCAAAATGCAAAATAGGTTCAAAATACATTTCAATCCAAGTATGAATGATATCAAGATCCTCCTAATCCCAACTTCTTTCTTAATAGCAGTGAATTCTGGTACTCAAATGGGCAAAAAAAAAGTCCAGCATAATTTATACTAACAGATGTTTCTAGAAAAATTCCAAATCAGTGAAAGCCTAGGAAAATAACCAACTTTAAGGGCTTTTAATAAGCAAGCTGAAAATAAGAAGAGTACTATGAAGTGATTTCTTTTTTTCTTAACAATCATACTACAAATCACTTGGGACAAAGATAATACAGTAGTTGTAGTAGATGAGAATGAATGGAGAGGAAAGAGCTCACCAGAGAGAAGGCAAATACTAGACAAAGAAATCACTATAAAGCTGCACAAAGGAGAACCCCAAGCCTGACTAAGGAAATAAGCAGGAAAAAGTCAGCAGAAGGCAGAATTGGTTCACCCCTGCCTATAAGACAAAGACAGACTTCAGTGGAACTGAGAGCTCACTCAGAGAGGATCAGTCACCTCCAACTGGGAATCCCTATTAAAACACGTAGACAGTAAAGTGCCCATCTATCCTGGTGACTTATTTCAGAACCCCTCCTCCTATGTCTGCCATCTGCCCAACAAATTAAATGACACATGAGTGAGTTTAGGGCACAAACAGCCTAAGACATGTTTGGTTTATCCTGACTTCTTTGAAAGGTATATTTCCACCTTTCTAGTTTACATAAAAATGAAATAACTAAAGTTTAAGTGTATTGTCTTGCAGATGTTTATCATACAAATGATTTATTAATTAAATAAATGGTATAATACAGACCCTATTTTCCACATAAGTACTCTAACTATAACATTCCTTTGTTCCAAAGCAGAACATCTAAGAAACTAACCTCGTGGGCACAGTTAAAAAAAATTCAGCCCTTTCTCCACAGTATTCAAGAGTGTTCAGAATGCTTGATATATTGGCGTTAGTGGACTCTGAGGAAAGTACACATAATTTAGTTTGGCCCAAACTCTTCCAATAATTTACTATCTCTAGACTTGCAGCATGAAATAATTAAGGAAATGAACCATTAATTTATTCACTCATTCAATAAGCATTTATTGAGCACCTACTATTAGGCATGGCACATTTCTAGACACTAGAGATACAGAGATAAAACGCTAATGGAGCTTACATTTGGTGGGCCGGATGTAATTATAAATAACAGTATGAGGAATGTGAGAACACATCAAAAAATAAAACTGCAGCATATTGCAACCAACTGAAGTATATAATTTGTCATCATATCTTCAAACTATCAGAGTAGTGTTAGGGCATAAGTAAGTTGGGGACAACAAAAATTAGAAAGTGCCTGCTGATCAGACCTGGAGAAGAATGTGCCTGATGTGACCTTTGCCTTGACATTTGCAAAGCCTATTATCTTATCCTGACAATAGGTTACAAGGCTTGGTTTTGAAAAACATTCCAACATGTAACTTTAAAAACTCAAAATAACTTGTTATTCACTCCCAAGACCTTTAGCACTTCATTTCTTAAAAATCTAATTGAAGAGATTAAAAGGAAATAGCAAAATACAGGAAAAGAAAAATTGAACTATGTCAAATCATTTCTGGAGGTAATTATAGACATGATTTCAGATTTTTGGCATGTCTGTTTCTGGAAGTTCTTGTTTGTAGACATTGTTTCATTAAAAATCTAGATAATATGGCATAATGCTAGGTTTGCAACAGTTTTACATCAGATTTGCTTATATCATAACATTTTAATTTTTTTAAAATATTGATCTGGGGAACTTTGTCAGCAGATGTAAACCTTATCAAAAACTTTACTTTTTGTTTTATGGAATGGATAAAAATTGAATATGCTTTTTTGATTGCTCTTTTTTAATCTACAGTTAAATGAATAACCAGAGTTTCCCAAAGTAGGTCAGAATAGGACAATAAACTCAAGTACTTAACACTGACCAATGTAAATTTGGTTGCTACTTCTGTCAATTTCTGTCTCTTCTTCACCTCTCCAATCCCCCATGGTTTCTGAACTTTATTTTTCTTCATCATAGCCAGATGTTTTAGGGACTCATCCCTCAGGTGCTGATCTTAAAAGTTAGGGTGCCTAATGTGGAGCACAAATCCTTTTTGCTCCTCAAGGAGAAACTCCAGGTTTTGAGTTCCCTCCTGATTGCGGGTCACCACACCAGGGAGTGGTGTTTATGGTGAGACTCTTTCTCAGCCTTTCCTATCCACTTCAATATAGTTTCCCTCTCATGTGCCTGATGTGAAGTGGCTGCTTTGCCAGTTTTTTTTAGTTTAGGTTTGTTTTTGTTTTTTTCCCCAGAGCAAATTGTTCCATATATAGCTGTAGATTTGATGTGTCTGTGGGAGGAGGTGATATCAGGGTCTTCTTACATTATCATTTTGGACCAGAACCTTGAAATAGATCAAACTTTATTTTCTACATTCTTTCCTGTTATCCTTGGAACCATCACTTGTATACTTTTTACCATGCCTCTTCATCTGCTGTGAGTGATTCGATTGGGTATGAGAAGATAAAATAGCCTTCTCATCAGTCAGGAATCTTTTCTCTATGCCCTTCTTCATATAAATATTGCATTCTTAATAAGCACTTTAGCCAACACTCATACCTATAACATCAGTCAGCACTGATGTTTTACTTTTCCTTCTCTTTGGAGGCATTTTAACAGCAATAAAAAGAAAGGATTATAACATTCATTTTCCTTTTCCTTTCCTAGTGTGAGTCTTCACTTTTGTAGCTGGAGGCATCTGGGCAAACAAGTATCTACAGACCTGCCTAAAGCTGAGTTCTCATTGTCAGCTTCCCAACAGAAGGGAAAAGCATAAACAAAGACAAGCACATTTCTGGAATTTCTCTTTGTCAAATATTCCTCCCCTCTCAGGCTCAAAGAAGCCAAATGAGGAAGATCACAGCCCAATCACTGATGAAGGCCTGGAGCATTCTGTAAGAATCCAGGATCAATAATGTGTCTCGACATCAAAAACCAGCTTAGTCTTCTCAAAACTGGGGTGCTAATTCCAGAGGCCCACTGTTTCTTAATGGGGGTGCTGCTGATATTCTGGGCAGACAACTGTGCCAGTGTCTCGTACCTTGCTGGGTACTTAGCAGCCCTGGCCCCCTCCCACTAAATGCCAATAGCTTTCTCCAGTTATCACAACAACAACAAAAAAATGTGACCAAACATTTCTAATAGGTTCCTAGGGTGATGGTGCTGCCACGAGGTATGAACCACTGTGCAAGGCCAACTGTGATACAGTGACAAGGATGACTGGTGGAGAAATCAGGAAAGGCAGATGGTGAGAAGTAATAATTAAGCAGTTGCAGGTGACACAAAGACTGAAGACCTATACCTCTGAGAGCTTGTAATGCTATCCTGGACTGGGATGGCCCAAAATGCCATCTAGGATCACTGAAAGTTGCCAAAACAGGGAACATACTCTATCTTCTATTCTTTTTAAATGTCTGTTTCAAAATACATATTTTAAATTTATATATTAATTGATTTGTCACTCTTGTCTTCAGATTTGAGTTGCCCTTATAGGATGCTGGTTGCTTTACAGAATTTCTCACTGGACTCCAAAGGAATGGTAGCAACCCTCGAAATGAAAGGAAATGTTTACTACTCTAATCCTAATGTCCTCAAGCAGTATAATTCTCCTTCCTTAAGGAGACCCCCAAGAACCCAAAAAATGAAGGATGTGAAAGTACCAAACTTCCCAAAGGAAATGTACAGCACCCTCTTCGAGTGTGTCAACTCCAAGCTCTGAGGAAAGCAGGTTCTTGTGGGGAAGGGGCTTATGGCAGACACCAAAAGAAAGGCAGCAAGGAAAACAAAAATGCCTGTGGGGCGTGTCTGTTCCCTTCTAGCAGCAGGGAGTTTGAGGTGTTTTTCTCCTTAAAAGTCAGAAAGTGAAAAGACATGAGAACTTACACTAGAATAGGAAGTTTAAGAAAAGATATTGCCATGGTCCTTTGTGATAAGTAGTGAGAGGAATCAGAGGAGTGTTGAGACAGCACCTGAGGGCTCCGCAACCCCGGACAGAGAAATGCCGGCTCATTCCTCTTTTTCAGTGACTGTGAATGATTTGAGATTCATCTTTGAAATCTTCAGTCTTTTTTTAAAAATGTTTTTAGTAAATTATATTTCTCTTTATTCTCTCACAAACAGTAATGTGGGGGGAGAGGGGCATTCTCTGTGCCTGGATTTGCCCTTTCTGGGCATGGAGTCTTGATTGGTTGATTTAACTCAAGTCCTTCTTAAGATGACAAAAGATTTCATGGAGGATGAAATCTACACTCCTAAAGGAGAAATATATACAGAACTTTTCTTTTTTCTTTTTTTAAAGATTTTATTTATTTATTTGAGAGAGAGAATGAGAGAACAGGAGAGGGGGGAGGGTCAGAGGGAGAAGCAGACTCCCTGCTGAGCAGGGAGCCCGATGCAGGACTCAATACTGGGACTCCAGGATCATGACCGGAGCCGAAGGCAGTCGCTTAACCAGCTGAGCCACCCAGGCACCCCCAGAACTTTTAAAGAGCTCTTTCTCTTACATATGAGCCCCCATTCTTCTATTTTTCCTCACTAATTACTGATGATGCACCCACCCTTAACTTATGTGGGTGTGGTTGGAAGAAAAATTCTGGCAGCCCAAATCCTTGATCCAAACCATCAGTGCCAGGATGTTCACTTCTTACTTCAGAGAACTTATTTAAATGATAGTCTTTCTCAAAATGCCATTCATTTAAGTGACTGAGTTCTTATCAGATTTCTTCTGGAGGTCTTGTTTCTTTCATTGCCCTCAGCAGAACGTAAGCAACAACTGAGTGATGCTAAAATGTTCTGTGTCTGGGTGTG